ACACATTGATTTTTAGATCCATTGTAATTGTTGTAAATTCCCCAGTAAAACTGTTAGATCAGTAACTGTTTATTTAGATCAGGCATTCATAGGCACCTCAGGGTCCTTAGGAGCACCATGGTAATCCTATCACTGTTACCATGACGGCGCTGTTATTTGTGGACTAACTGCTGTAGTTGAAAGGGACTGTTTTGAATTTTGAACATAGGGCCTCATTTCCTAGTGAGCCAGAGTGTTGGAGACGTGTGGAGACACTTTTTAAAATATTCCATCCAGTCCTTGTATTTGCTGAAGTCACTGGTGCTAGGCTAGTGCATGTCAATGGCCATAGTTAGCCTGCCACTAAAAACAGTTTTACCCATTCCACAAAGCGCCTGAAGCAAAACAGTTATAATGCCAGACTGTCGATGTCAAAGTCTGTGTTGATAAAATAATTTTAGAAGTAAAACCAACCTTGCGTTTGAAGGATATATGTCTGAGCAGCAGCAGCGAGTTGTACTTCCTGTTAGAAAGCTTGGCAGCGGCGGCCTGATATATGAGAAAATAATCCCTCAAGATGCAATGATTCATGTGATGCAAGGTTATTTTATTTCAAACATTATTCTATCAACACATTCACATCGACAGTCTGGCATAATAACAGTTTTGCTTCAGGTGTTTTGTTGAGTGTGTAAGACTGTTTTTAGTGTCAGGCTAACTATGGCCATTGACATGCACTAGCCTAGCACCAGCGACTTCTGCAAATACAAGGATGGTGTCTCCACACGTCTCCAGCACTCTGGCTCACTAGGAAATGAGGTCCTATGTCCTAAATTCAGAACTGTCCATTTAAGATCTTTACCTTTAACCTCTCGAAGTCTGCGTCTATGACAGAAGTGGGTTTGCATATATCTAATAGTTTCTTTAATTGTTATGTAATATTCTGACGCTTATTAACTTGATTAACTTGATTAATTTACCTGATTGTTGATGTGAACTGTTTAAGTGTGACTCATAGACTGATTATGTCTGTGTGTAACTTCACTTAGTAATATGAGTCATGTGTTTATAGATAACCAGATGCAAGGATAGTACGGATGAAAGGATAGATTAACAGACAGCAAAAAAGATTAAAGCCTCCAAAATACATTCTGGTGTCCATTTTTACTCTCTGACCGGAGTATTGTCTGGATGAAGTGTCCCAGTACACATTTTACAGTCCTCACTAGAAATCTCCAACAGTAATATTCCCTGTTTTAACATGGTATCCGAGTGAATTGTACAGTAAAGTACAGTGTTTGTGATCATACCAAAACTTAACTTTAGTACAGTTTTAAAGCTGCAGTAAATATAACATAATACAGTGAATGAAGTAAACAGATAGTGTTGTTATCGCCCCTGGACTGTGAGCTGTGATCATGTGGAGTCTTATGCTCTAGGATCTGTGCTCAAGGATTGCTTTGAATGTACTCCAGTGTATAAGAAGTGACACAGATTATAGATGAAAACCTATATGTATATTTCTAATCCCAGTGAAGTGTGCGCTGCAGGCCGTTTGTCTCACACACACAGGCACACATCTGTCAGGTCTGCATACTTTGTGGGCACACTACATCAGCTTGCATTACTTTATGGGAGACTTGCCCTAGATAACATGCTTTCTTCTACTTCTTCGCAATAAACTTTTAACATGTGCAGATGTTTATTTGACATTGTGTTCAGTGTAAATAGTAAAGTTGATCAAAAATTGCATAGTAATACAAATGGGGTCCCGCTAAAGAAAGGTCTTGCTCTTACTTCGCTCTGTTTTTTTTATTTTGGTTGGTGATGAAATGTTGCATCAGTAAGAAACCGCAATGAGAAATTATGAAGTTTTATGACTTTTATTAAAAACGTTGAACTTTGTGTGTGTATTTTGTATGTGTGTGTGTGTGTGTGTGGTCCTGAAACATATAAACACAGGGAAAAAAGTATAAATTATAATATACTCTATAAATGCAAACAAACACGCCAGAAACAAGTGATAATAGCTCTGTAATAATAGCAGGCTGTTAGCTGGCTCTTAGCACCTGGTACTTAGCATTTCCCGATATTACAAATAAACATCTAACTGGCTCTTAAACACACATTTTCAATAATCTGCTATTGCTACCAACTTCAAAACACTCTGTTGATGTATATATGTGCCTTTTTTAAACCACTACTCAATTCTTTAATAGGCATTCGAGATTTGCACCCACAAGCTTCGCACGACACACTGAAAACAACTAAAACACGTAACGCTGTCAACCGAACTTAAAACAAACAGTATCTGATTGGTTACAATGTCTGTCAATCAAACACCTAGTAGAAAGAGATTACCATATTTTCGGACTATAAGGCGCACTTAAAATGCCTTTCATTTTCTTAAAAATCCACAATGCATTTTATAATCCAGTGCACCTTATGTAATGTAATGTTATGTAATCTAATGTAATTCTGGTTGTGCTTACTGACTCTGTGGTACACGGCACTCAAAAATCTGTCAAAATATTTTAGTACGACTCTGGTAAGCTACGAGGCCGCACCACTTGATGGATTGTCGGAACATTTACGGCTCGGAGCCTCGTGGAGTTATAATCTCTGAAAAGATTCACATGAGCCTCTGTCACAGAGAGAGCACACATATTCCACTGAGTTGTGTCCAACAGAAGCTGATCGCATCAGCGCACAAGGAGAGAACTGTTTTTTTCAGCACTTACAGTTTATGCAAATTAGCCATGTGGCTTTAAGTTTCGTTTCTGTAAAACTAAACAAATGTGTGCAAAGACACAAACAGATTATTACTCAATGTATATTTGAGTCATCCTCATAGGAAATTAAAAAAACAAACTTAAATGATCCACCCACATTCACATTCAGAATACACTTTCACTGAGACAGGGAGGCAACGCCAGGCGAGTTACACCACGATCTGCCAATGGATCGTGGATGCCTGGGCTAAGAGATCAGTCTCAAGTGTCGTCCGTTTATTTTACTTAATGCTCCTTATAATCCTGTGCGCCTTATGTATGAAAATAGATGAGAGAATCCAACATCATTGATATTGTGCCTTATATTGTGTGCTTTATAGTCCGAAAAATACAGTATGTCCTTCGACACACATTCCTTCAAAGTTTTTCCTCTGGAAGGTCTTCTGCCTCATTTGCTGCCACATATGCCTGCAGCATCTCAAATGCCCATACCTAGCCAGTGAATATAACTTTTAGTAAATGAATAATGAGAGAACAGAGTAGCATGGTTTAAAACTCAGAAAGTTTTATCATGCATAATATTTTCCCTTTAACCTCAAGTAACTCACAGCTCGACTTTAAACCATGAATGCTGAACTTGAGTTTGGTCAAAGCAGAAGGCTCCATGAAGTGACTTTGTACACAGATTTCAGTCCCCTCAATGCGACGAGTACCCGCCCACGCCCCCCTCGGCTTCCTGTCATCGGTGGCTCTGCTGTAACAGTGGGGATAACCTATGCTTTGTGCTGGTATGAGAGCTGACTCCTCCAAGGCCATTCATATTTGATTTGACAGCTTGTTGAGAGCCGAACTCACCAGGAGACAGAACTACAGGCAGTTTACAAACTAATGAGCAGACTATGTGCCAGAGGAGAGACCATCATGGACTTATTGACTGGGAGGGGCTATGGGGAGAATGCACACGTGATGTAGAGATGGGCCCAGAATCATAAAAGTGCAGGAGAATGGGCTTGCTGTTGCCTGGTGACTGGTCGACTGGTGCCAACTTCATCATTTCTATTCATATTCAGTGACTATTGGAGTCCCTCACCCGCTCCCTGCACATTCGGGGACACTACAGTTTTACTAAGCTGCAATTATGTGCCACAAAGGAACACAGGGGAAAAGTATGTCATAATATTATATTCGCATTTTCAAATACAAATACTATAACTAATACAACTACTACTACTACTTCTACCACTACTACTACCATCGCTACTATTACTACTACTACTACTGCTATTACTATTACCACTACAACTACTATTACCACTACTACTACTACTGCTGCTGCTTTACCATCAAGAGCAAAAATACAAAAACACCTTTTCCATTTCTAATTGCATGACTAGTGCAAATAAATACTACAAAATCTACCATGAAAACCTATTTTTGATATCAGAAATCTTCATCACTATTTCATTTGCAAATATATCCTCCACTAACACATCATAGAGCGAAGAAAATGCAGGACAGAAAGATCTCCATGTAGATAGTACTAGTATTATTTTATTCAGCCTTTATGCATATGCAAGTGTTTGGACTGGTGTTTTTTTTAACTACACTGTGCAATTTGGATTTGGTTTTGTTCATAAAATATGCTCGCCTGTATAAATAAAGGTGATATGGATTTATATTTCGATGGAGATAGCTGGAGGAGAGGCTGCTCCAGTGCCTCTCTGCATTAACCCAGTATGAAATATTTAGCCTGAGCACATCATCCATCATTAACACACAATCATGTTCTATTCATCGCAGCACATTACATACAATCAGAGCTTTAGCCCAGTTTGTATGTGCTCTTACATGGACACCCCACAGAGCACATATACATATATATATAAAACATTGCACAGAGGTGAAATAGAGGACATTGTAATCAAAGGTCATTTGTAAACATTGACTGGGAGTTGCTGTACCCTAAACTATATTATATAAAAAATACTTGCGTGTCTTTTGTTGCATAGTGATGGTGTTATTATTATAATTGAAGAACAGACATTTTATTATTGTTGTAAAGCCCAAAATAATTCTACTGGCATTCTACTATTTTGTGATTTTGAACTCTTTACATATCATTCTTTTTAATAACTGAATTGTAGTCCTTTTAAGTTATAAAAAATGTTGCTGTGTAGAATGATTAATCATCACAACTGTGTTACTCAGTTCTCTCCCCACATGTGCCCAGGTCAGAGTATAAGTATGTGACGGCCTAACTGTGGGTGTGTGTATGTGTGTGTGTTACAGAGTCGGAGGTGACCACAGTGAACCGTTGTCTGGACGCGGCTAAAGCCTGTAACATTGATGAGACATGTCAGAAGACTCGTACAGAGTATGTGTCAGCGTGTATCCAGCCGTCCGCTCGCTCCGGGCCCTGTAACAGGCCGCGCTGTAACAAAGCGCTCAGGAAGTTCTTCGACCGTGTTCCTCCAGACTACACCCACGAGCTGCTCTTCTGCCCCTGCACTGACACAGCCTGTGCCGAGCGCCGCCGCCAGACCATTGTCCCCACCTGCTCCTATGAGGACAAGGAGAAGCCCAACTGCCTGGCACAGCTGCGTGTGTGCAAGGCCGACTATGTGTGCAGGTAAGACCACTCCTCTGTGTACACACGTACAATCAACTGTGTAACTGTTACTCACATTTAGAACTGATCAAAAGGACTCAGTATGTAACTTCACATCAAATCTAGTCACAACTAATATTTGGGGAAGATAAAATAGTCCCTACCAATATTTACCATTTTATTTTAATCAATAAAAATATCAATTTATTCTGATATTTTTCCAAACTCAGTAGTATTGATTTAACATGTTTTAGTTCACATTTTATTTATTAGACGTTCTGAGATCTTTCCAGTGATATGATGACAGGGTTACCTCTGTCACTATTTCATTGGCTGCAACAGAGTGATGTCATTAGTGGTGTCAGGAGCCTAAACTGGGGAAGCAGCAGGACAGTGCCAGGACCCAAAGATGGCGGCTTGAGCAGGCATGAGTGAAGACAATGCACACCAAACTTTGAATAACTTTTCTATAGGAACTTACTTGGCTTCATCTTCAATTAAACTTGCCTTATATTGAGTCGCTGTGGAAAAAGAGTGACTATCACCACAAGTGCTCCTCCCAAACGGAGCTCTACTCCTGCACTGTGAGCCGCCCGACTCTATTGACAATATTACATGAAAAATGTTTGGACATGACCTCACAAATATCTCATCACCAACAAGCAAAGGGAAATCTGCTACAAAAGAATAATCTTAGAAGGGCAATGAACAAAAATTGTACATTTTGTGAAATGAAAAATGAAACCAACTCTCACTTATTCTGGACCTGCCCAGACTCTTGTGTGTTTTTGGAAAGAATTCATAAAACACATGTGCTGTTTGTTTTTTGCAGTGTGCATCATACAAAAAGTGAACAATATTATATAATGAATCTGTTAATCAAGTCATCTATCAGTTGGTTTCATGAAGGGGGGTGGGGGGACCTACGCTCTTGGGTTATTGTTTTGATTACTCTGATAGCTATAATCAAACCATATTTAAGCCGTCCATCCAAAATATACTAAAATGCTACATTAATGCACTAATTGAGTATCACACAAAACGTAAATGGACCATAAAAGGTGCTCACTAAAGTGCAGAGATGCTCCTTTATACCGCTGTTTGGAAGATTACACAACAAGTTTATCACCTTTTTTTTTTCTTTTTGATTAGCTCCCTCTGCAGCCTTTTTTAATATATTTCAAACTATTCCCCCCACAGAAACAAGGACAGAATAGAACTGGGCTGTGTGCATGAAGAGGTAGAGAAACATTAACACATAAATGTGTGTCCCTGATGGACAGTAACTGCGATGACTTGGTTTGACAATGACAGAGAATGTAATACCTCAGTGCACTTTTCTTTTCAACATTTTAAAACTAACTGGGAGAATTACATCAGATTCTTGCAATGATTATAATGTAGGAGACTCATTATTTGGGCTGAGGCATATTTCTCATTCACAATACATGAAAAGTAACTGATCTCTTATCTAATTCTGTTCACAAGGCCAGATGTTGGGTAAACCAGGAGAGCATTCAGAACCTGTAGTCCTGTCTCTTCTAACCCTGCTGTTTTCTGTCTGAGAAGAAAATTGTTCTCACTGCATTAAGCACAAAGTCAACCTTCAATAAACCCAAACAGAACATTCTCTCACAAAATGCACTGAGGGCCCGAGAGCCGCTTTCAAACACTGACCTTAGATTACAGCCTGTTGAAACAAGACTCGAGCAAGATTAGGCGTTCAACTACCACTCTCTTATTAGTTATTATGGGCACAAATAAACTAAAGAACATTGTTTTAAAGTTAAAGTGTTTTATTTTGATAGTTTGAAGTAAATAAGTTCAGTGATTTGCTTTAATTGACATTAATGTGCTCTTCTTTGATAATCTACAAGTTTAGTAAAAAGACATTTTAAATGATGTAACTGCAATTAGACTTGAGATTCTCTCTCTCTCTCTCTCTATATATATATATATATATATATATATATATATATTTTTTTTTTTTTTACTCTGCACATTTTAAACATGTAAGGATATATTTAAGGACATAAAAGCATTAACATTTTCTGGGTTTCCAGTTTGTAAAGATTTAGCCTTTAAGCTTTTGTGATTTTATAAATATATAACAGCTAAACCTGCTCTTTCAGTTGTATTATGTAAGAATGTTATTACATATTACTGTGGATTTTACATTGATTTCACTCATTCGTTGTACTTTGCAGTGCTTGAAAAACACTTTAACTTTAAAACACGTGTACTCTTTTAAAGCTCAATGATTTCTTATGTATTGATACTTTGCAGCTGAAGTCATCAACATTCTGTGGCGGTGTGATGCTATCTGTAAGCACTGCTCTGTCTGAGGCTTTGTTAGACGTTCATCTGAGCTTTGAATGTTATCTGACCAGAAAGTTAATAACTTAATAATTGATTTGTGCTGTGAACATTCTGCCAACACACATACAGGAACAAAACCCCCATACGTGATGTCACTGCAAAATATCAATTTATTTACATATATGATCTATTGATTCGTTTTTAATTTTATAAAAGTAACACAAATGCACTAAGCAAGATAATCTATTTGTACGTAGTTCATATTTGTATCTAGGTTCTTTATTTCCACGGCAACAAATGATTTCAGTTAATTTTCGTTGCCGCTTAGAAGACAATAAGTGGAATTATGCATTTTGAAGCTGAGCCTGGCTGCCATGATATATTCACTCACTTTTAATTAGTCGACTGTCTTTAATTAATTCCATTGATAAACTCATTTAGTGTTTAATTAGTTTAATTAGATGTGTGTTCGTTTACTGGGGGGAGCGCAGAGCCGCACTAGTCATTATTGGAACAGCTATTATCTGAGGATTCACACGACTGCCCCGCCAATATTTACCAACGAGCAAGTCAGGTTATCATGGGGTTAGGCTGTTTGCACTTTGAGATCAGGATCAGAAAAGTATATTTAACTAGATAAATGCAGACGGAACATTTGTACAGCATTTAAATCCATAGTTTATCAAGAATTTAAAAGTCCACCATGCTAGAGAATGTTTCTGCTGACAAAAGGGACAAACTTTGGACAAGATGACATTGCCAGATTGAGAAAGTTTGGTCAGTGAAATGGAGTAGAGATTGCAAAAACAGAAATCCAAAGAGAATAAGTCATGAAGTTACAGTACATAGGAAAAGTGGATGCAGAGGCAAGGTGGGTGAAGTGTCTAGCCCAAAGACACAACAACAGTATAGATTAAAATCACTGTGTTCCCCGTGGCACCAGGTATTTCCAGAAGTCTCCCATTCAAGTACTAACCAGGCCCAAGCATACTTAGCTTCGGTGGTAGTACCCAAATCAACTTTCTCCAGTGTAAATACTGTTCAACGATAGTGTGACAGTAATTAGCCAGGCTGGTGCCACCTAGTGCCTCCACTCAATTTAATTTCTCTCCAGCGACTAGGTCAGGAATCAGAGTACACTAGACCTTTTGCAAGAACCCCAGAAGTTGTAGACACACACCGGCCAATCAGAGGAGAGCTGTGAAGCCATGACATCAAACTCAAGCGTCTGTCTGGGTCTAAACAAAGTGGTTGAGATGGATGTAGTCAAAGACAGACAATCTGGGCTGGACAACAATTCCCGAGATCGAGGATTTAAAGCCAGAACAAAGAGAATGTTTGGTGAATTTGATCAAGGATTTAGAGTAGTGATGGGCGAATGGAGCCTCGTGAAGCACTGACACCTCAGTCGCAATATTGTCTCAAATGGTTCGATGTGTCTGAGGCCTCGGAGAAACACTGACCTCTAGTGGACAAATATAACCATTGGCATGCAGGTGTCTGAGCATCGATGAAGTATTGTTAGTGTAAGACAATACTTGTGTGTAGAGCGACACCGTACCTAACAACAACAAAAATAATGATGATTTAAAATAATACGTAAAGAGCAACATAAATAGCAGCTGTAAATAAGAAAATAGGTTACTTTGTTAGGTGGAATTAGATCAAAAAGATCCTAAACCATGGATCGCTTTTTTGCACTTGTAGACGCCATCGAAAATGAAACAAATGCCAAAAGTCACCAAAATCACCACTAACGTCACACAATACTCCTCACTACCCAACATTTTTAAGAAATATTGGTGCATCTTTTATACTGTAGCAGTTTAGCGCTTGTCAAACCACACAAGTGTGCTGAACACTCTGAAGCATCTGAACCAATAAACACTAGATGATAAACTATGTATGAAAACTATGATAAACTATAAACTATAAACTATGAATACTAATATGATAAACTATGAAAACTAGTATGATAAACTATAAACTATGAAAACTATGAAAACTATACAATAAACTATGTATGAAACTATAAACTAGTATGATAAACTATAAACTATGATAAACAATACTAGTATGATAAACTATAAACTATGTATGATAATAAACTATGAAAACTAGTATGATAAACTATGATAACTATAAACTAGTATGATAAACTATGAAATACTATGATAAACTATAGTATGATAAACTAATATATGAATACTAGATAAACTATAAACTATGAAAACTAGTAATAAACTACTAGTAATAAACAATACTAGAACTATGAATACTAGTACGATAAACTATGAATACTAGTATGATAAACTATGAATACTAGTATGATAAACTATATATACTAGTACAATAAACTATGAATACTAGTATGATAAACTATGAATTAAACTATGAAACTAGTATGATAAACTATGAATACTAGTATGATAAACTATGAAAACTAGTATGATAAACTATGAATACTAGTACGATAAACTATGAATACTAATATGAATAAACTATGAAAACTAGTATGATAAACTATGAATACTATATAAACTATGAATACTAGTACAATAAACTATGAATACTAATATGATAAACTATGAATACTAGTATGATAAACTATGAAAACTAGTATGATAAACTATGAATACTAGTACAATAAACTATGAATACTAGATAAACTATGAAACTAGTATGATAAACTATAAACTAGT